ACAGTAAAGACAGTCTTCCTCCTCCTCAGTCCGCTCCAGTCACTCTGTGGTTCTGACTACCACAGTAAAGACAGTCTTCCTCCTCCTCAGTCCGCTCCAGTCACTCTGTGGTTCTGATTACCACAGTAAAGACAGTCTTCCTCCTCCTCAGTCCGCTCCAGTCACTCTGTGGTTCTGACTACCACAGTAAAGACAGTCTTCCTCCTCCTCAGTCCGCTCCAGTCACTCTGTGGTTCTGACTACCACAGTAAAGACAGTCTTCCTCCTCCTCAGTCCGCTCCAGTCACTCTGTGGTTCTGACTACCACAGTAAAGACAGTCTTCCTCCTCCTCAGTCCGCTCCAGTCACTCTGTGGTTCTGATTACCACAGTAAAGACAGTCTTCCTCCTCCTCAGTCCGCTCCAGTCACTCTCTGGTTCTGACTACCACAGTAAAGACAGTCTTCCTCCTCCTCAGTCCGCTCCAGTCACTCTGTGGTTCTGACTACCACAGTAAAGACAGTCTTCCTCCTCCTCAGTCCGCTCCAGTCACTCTGTGGTTCTGACTACCACAGTAAAGACAGTCTTCCTCCTCCTCAGTCCGCTCCAGTCACCCTGTGGTTCTGATTACCACAGTAAAGACAGTCTTCCTCCTCCTCAGTCCGCTCCAGTCACTCTGTGGTTCTGATTACCACAGTAAAGACAGTCTTCCTCCTCCTCAGTCCGCTCCAGTCACTCTGTGGTTCTGATTACCACAGTAAAGACAGTCTTCCTCCTCCTCAGTCCGCTCCAGTCACCCTGTGGTTCTGATTACCACAGTAAAGACAGTCTTCCTCCTCCTCAGTCCGCTCCAGTCACCCTGTGGTTCTGATTACCACAGTAAAGACAGTCTTCCTCCTCCTCAGTCCGCTCCAGTCACTCTGTGGTTCTGACTACCACAGTAAAGACAGTCTTCCTCCTCCTCAGTCCGCTCCAGTCACTCTGTGGTTCTGATTACCACAGTAAAGACAGTCTTCCTCCTCCTCAGTCCGCTCCAGTCACTCTGTGGTTCTGATTACCACAGTAAAGACAGTCTTCCTCCTCCTCAGTCCGCTCCAGTCACCCTGTGGTTCTGATTACCACAGTAAAGACAGTCTTCCTCCTCCTCAGTCCGCTCCAGTCACTCTGTGGTTCTGACTACCACAGTAAAGACAGTCTTCCTCCTCCTCAGTCCGCTCCAGTCACTCTGTGGTTCTGATTACCACAGTAAAGACAGTCTTCCTCCTCCTCAGTCCGCTCCAGTCACCCTGTGGTTCTGACTACCACAGTAAAGACAGTCTTCCTCCTCATCAGTCCGCTCCAGTCACTCTGTGGTTCTGATTACCACAGTAAAGACAGTCTTCCTCCTCCTCAGTCCGCTCCAGTCACTCTGTGGTTCTGACTACCACAGTAAAGACAGTCTTCCTCCTCCTCAGTCCGCTCCAGTCACTCTGTGGTTCTGATTACCACAGTAAAGACAGTCTTCCTCCTCCTCAGTCCGCTCCAGTCACTCTGTGGTTCTGACTACCACAGTAAAGACAGTCTTCCTCCTCCTCAGTCTGCTCCAGTCACTCTGTGGTTCTGATTACCACAGTAAAGACAGTCTTCCTCCTCCTCAGTCCGCTCCAGTCACTCTGTGGTTCTGATTACCACAGCACAGGGGGACAGGAGGCTCCTGACAGACACAATGTGGACCCAGCTAGATGTACTGTAATCAGCTAGTCCCCCCGTGTGTGTGTGTGTGTGTGTGTGTGTGTGTGTGTGTGTGTGTGTGTGTGTGTGTGTGTGCAGCGAAACCGTGTGAATTGTCACATTTAGTTACCCAGCTAATCGTCCTTAGAGATGATGGTTGATAAACTGCAGGCCGTGCCCCAGCATGTTGATAGGTGGACCTGCATGCCTTCACTTGGACTTTATGTATGCCTGTGTTGTTGCTGTAGTGGGCTGATTGGATGAATGTGCTTCATGCACTGTTATGTGCAGATAAATGAACTGCTTTATTCAGCTGATGTTTGTTCGGTGAAATTAGAGAACGTGTTCTTCACTGTCCAACTCTGTACATTTCCATACTTAAGCAATAAACTCTTTGGAATCAGGAGTGTAATCAAGAAGTTGTCTTTTTCTAAATAGTTCTCTCTTTTAGCTTCTCCATTGTGCATGGTCTATCTATGTTCTGTTTCTGGGTTGGGGGTTTGAGGGTTGCTGCTATTCTCTGTCTGTCTGTCTGTCTGTCTGTCTGTCTGTCTGTGTCTGTCTGTGTCTGTCTGTCTGTCTGTCCTCTAGCCTGCTGTCTGTCTGTCTGTCTGTCCTCTAGCCTGCTGTCTGTCTGTCTGTCTGTCTCTGTCCTCTAGCCTGCTGTCTGTCTGTCTGTCTGTCTGTCTCTGTCCTCTAGCCTGCTGTCTGTCTGTCTCTGTCTGTCTGTCTGTCTCTGTCCTCTAGCCTGCTGTCTGTCTGTCTGTCTCTCTGTCCTCTAGCCTGCTGTCTGTCTGTCTGTCTCTCTGTCC